AAGAAGAAGAAGAAGAAGAAGAAGAAGAAGAAGAAGAAGAAGAAGAAGGAATAAAATAGAAGAAGAAAAAAAATTAGAATATTACTTATATGTGCAATTATATTTTACTAGGATTGAATATTTGTGTTGGTCGGGTGGATTTAAAAGTGCAGTTGTTTCGTCGCTGCGAGGGTCTGGTGTTCGACGACCTCCCCGTGCGTACGACGAGCTCCACCCCTGTGTTCGTGGGTGAGCACAAATGGCATCTCCTCCCCCCCTTTCATTTGCTCAGTTCCGGTGTTTGTGCCAATGAAACTTGCTAGCTATAGGTAGATTAAATCATCATTATGCATGACCAGTATGCGTCTCCCGTTCGAAAGGGTTACAGTTATAAATAGGCATGCATTTGCATATTTATAACCGTGATTATTTCGAATTGTCCAACGTTATCCATGGACAGCCCGAGTATGTGTAGATTGGGTTCATTTCCCCATATGTTTTGGTCCAGATTCGATGCATAATTTTGTCAGTGCCTCCCTATTGTTCTTCGGGTACACATCCTCTCTGTTTATTGCCGAGATGTGTATCAAGAGAATGGCGGGGAGGTGTTGCCGAAATTTTGCGTCGGATCCGGAGCAGAGCAGGGGAAAACGAACGCAATATACACATACCCGGGTGGGATTAGGACCTATCTTTACCTATTGATACGTCTCCAACGTATCTATAACTTTTGATTGTTCCATGCTGTTATATTATCAATCTTGGATGTTTTATAATCATTTTTTGGTAGTAAGATATTGACATAGTGCCAAGTGCCAGTTGTTGTCTTTTGCATGTTTTTTACATTGCAGACAATCAATACCAAACGGAGTCCAAATGCCACGAAACTTTACGGAGATTTTTTATGAACCAGAAGACACCTAATGGGCCCTGGCTGCGCCTGGGGGGGGGGGTGCTCCGAGTAGAGCACAACACACCAGGGCGGGCCAGGAGGCCCAGGTGTGCCCTGGTGGGTCGTGCCCACCTCGGGTGCCCCCCGGACCGCCTCTTTGCTCTATAAATACCCCAATATTCCCAAAAACCTAGGGGAGTCGACGAAATATTGATCCAACCATCGCAGAGTCCAGAACCACCAGATCCAATCTAGACACCATCTCGAATGGGGTTCACCACCTCCATTGGTGCCTTTCCGATGATGCGTGAGTAGTTCTTTGTAGACCTTTGGGTCCGTAGTTAGTAGCTAGTTGGTTTCCTATCTCTCGCTGAATTCTCAATACAATGGTCTCTTGGAGATCCATATGATGTAACTCTTTTTGCGGTGTGTTTGTTGGAATTGGATGAACTTTGAGTTTATAATCAGTTATATATTTTATATCCATGAAAGTATTTGAATTTCTTTGATCTCTTTTATGCACGATCTCTTATAGCCTCACATTTCTTCTTCGATATTTAGGTTTTGTTTGGCCAACATGATTTATTTATCTTGCAATGGGAAGAGGTGCTTTGTAGTGAGTTCGATCTTACGGTGCTTGATGCCAGTGACAGAAGGGGGACCAACACGTATGTATCATTGCTACTAAGGATAAAATGATGGGATCTATCTCTACATAGATAGATCTTATCTACATCATGTCATCATTTTTATTGCATTACTCCGTTTCTCCATGAACTTAATACACTAGATGCATGCTGGATAGCGGTCGATGTGTGGAGTAATAGTAGTAGATGCAGGCAGGAGTCGGTCTACTAATCTTGGACGTGATGTCTATATAATGATCATTGCCTGGATATCGTCATCATTATTTGAAGTTCTATCAATTGCCCAACAGTAATTTGTTCACCCATCGTTTGCTATTTTTCTCGGGAGAAGCCACTAGTGAAACCTACATCCCCCGGGTCTCTTTCTCAAATATTTGCCTTTGCGAACTATTTTTCCTTTGCATTTATTTTAAGATCTATTAAACCATAAATATAAAAATACTTTGCTGCACTTTATTTTATTAGCCATCTATTTATTCAATCTATTACAACTTTCTCCCGTCCACGCACCAATTTCTGGTGTCGTTACCCGAAAGGATTGACAACCCCTCTAACACATCGGTTGCGAGTGGTTATTATTTGTGTGCAGGGGCTGTTTACATTGTGTTGCTTGGTTCTCCTACTGGTTCGATAATCTTGGTCTCATCACTAAGGGAAATACCTACCGTTGATATGCTGCATCAACCCTTCCTCTTTGGGGAAATACTGACATAGTTCTAGACGACATCACCTATTAGCGTGTAGGTTCCATGGACGTTAAAAATATATGTAGTGATCATGCGTGGAAACATATTTAGGTTGCATGGATGACATCACCAATTTCTTGTCTATCCAGTAGCTAAGAAAAATGAGTGATCATGTGTGGACGTACACCGGTGAAACTAGTCAGAAAGACGTGAGCCGCATTTGCAAATGGCCAGAAAAAACCCGGTGCCCCTGTGTCCGGTGCGACTACTTTTAGAAGAGAAAAGAGGGTGAAACGGGTAAACATTTACCCAAAGGCCATGTATCAGCCAGATAAAATTCTCGGTGCACTTAAACTGCCTTATGAGAAGATAGATGCATGTGAGAAAGGATGTGCCTTATTTAGGTTTGAGTATGCAGAATTGAACTATTGTCTCATTTGCAAGTCTTTTAGGTATGTTGTGGTAGACAACGGTATGGGCGAGAAGAGGCAGAGAAAAATCCTCGTTAATGTTCTTCGGTATATGACAACCGTACCATACTTCAACTTTTTTTCATGGTCGAAGAGATGGCCAGACAAATGACATGACACAAAATGGGCAAAAGAACCGAACTAGATGCATATAGGAATCAGATGATGGTAAACACATCAGATGGTTCTGCGTGGAAGCACTTTGAATCATTACATGAACAAAAAGCAGCAGATCAAAGGCATCCTCTAGTCACCATCAGCACGGATGGGTTCAATGTGTTTGGTCTGTCGGCAACCCAATACAGTTGTTGGCCTGTATTTGTCAATCCACTCAATCTCCCACCCCCTTCCTTGGACAGATTATGCAAAGAAAGAACATTTTCCCGATGTTGATAATTCCCGGGCCCAACTATCCAGGGAAGAATATGAATGTGTACATGCAGCCGCTTAAGGATGAATTGCAAGAAGCTTGGGATAATGGGTTCGAGACATACGGCACTGCTAGCTTCATAATGCGCGTCTGGTACATGTACTCGATGCATGACTTGCCGGCATATGAACTATTCGTCAGCTGGTGTGTGCATGGAACGTTCCCGTGCCCCACATGCAAGGCAGCTTTTCAGTTTTGTTGGTTGCAGGCGAGTCACAAGTTTTCTTGCTTCGACTTGCATAGACAGTTCCTGAATACTCGCCATCAGTTCAGCAAAGACAAGTAGAACTTCATCAAAGGTAGAGTTGTCAAAAACTCTGCATCACCTGTGTTGACAGGCCAACAGATCCTGGATTAGTTAAACGCTCTAGAGTCAGATCCAGAGCGCCCAGGGTATTTCAAGGGGTATAACTCGAAACACGCCTGGACTCACAAGACATACTTGTGGGATCTGCCTTACTTCAAATACCTCCTTTTCCCACATAACATCGACATGATGCACACTGAAAAGAATATTGCCGAGGCCTTTTTTGGTACATTGTTCAGCATAGAGGAGAAGTCAAAGGATAATCCTAAGGCTAGAGTCGATCAGGAGGCTCTATGTGATAGACCGTTACAAAATATGCGACAACCAAAAGGACTGCACAATTGGACGAAGTCAAAGGCCTTGAAAAGCCAGCTATGAGAAAAATTATCTTATCGATAGAAATACACTTGATGTTCCTTGATGGGTATATGATGAATCTAAAGAGAGAAACAAGTCTTGAAAAATTGAAAATATTTAGTCTAAAAAAATATGATTAGCACATATGACTCGAGCGGGTAACGTCGAGAAGAAGGAATAAACGAATAGTCGCCATGCACGCACGGGGCTGCACGGGCAGGCGAAATGAAGCTACGGATGACTCATGACCAGTACACCAAACAAAATTACGATTACACTGTACGTAAGTACTAATCCTTGGTTCCGTAATATAAGAATATTTTTGACACTGTATATTAGTGTCAAAACGTCATATACTATGAAACGGAGGGAGTACTACACTGAGGCTGGTCATAGTGGGGAGTAATTTAGACTGGTGTCATATGCATGACACTAGTCTAAGTTATTATCTTCATAGTGCAAAGTAACATAGTACTAGTATCATATGTGGCCTCATTTAATAGCTTGTAGACTCATGTTGTCTTGGAAAGCGCTATGTTACAGTAACATATTATGTTACTACTTCTCATTAACTACTTGCCACATAAGCAAAAAATTCTCGAGATGCGCGGAAGTAAGTTAGCTAGTAACATAGCGCACTCCAAGAAAATTTTGCTTATCTGGCATGTAGTTAATGAGAAGTGGTAACATAAGGCTGGTCATAGTGGGAGTAACTTAGCAAATAACTTAACGCATTTCAAGACAAGTTTGCTTATGTGGCATAGAGTTAATGAGGAGAGAGGTGTTTGGAGTAACATAATATGTTACTGTAACATAACGCAATCCAAAGCAAAATGAGTCTATAATGTAATAAATGCTATTATCTATGATACTACCTGTATATTACTTTGCACTATGAAGGTAATAACAAAGACTAGTGTCATATGCATGACACTAGTCTAAGTTAGTCCCCACTATGACTAGCCTAATATGTTACTGTAACATAGCGCTTTCCAATACAAGATGAGTCTACGAACTAATAAATGAAGTCCTCTATGACACTATTAGTATATTACTTTGCACTACAAAAATTGTAACTTAAACTAGTGTCATATGCATGACACTAGTATAAGTTACTCCCCACTATGACCAGGCTGATGCCATATTATTTAATACCCTAATTAATTAGCAACACTGCCCCCTTGTATATCATAGAAAATATGTCTGAGCGGTAGCATTTGGTGCTTTCTTAATTAAAGCACGTTCTTAACAGCCTGCTGTAGGGTCTTGCGGTGCGGCGAAAGTGCCGACACCTCCCGCTGCACCGGGGGCGGCGGCGGCCCACAAATAGGGGTAGAAGGAGTTGGGGTCACCGGGTATCTGCCCACGGGCGTTGGCGGTGGCGGAGGAACATAGACTGGAGGACTTGGAGTCACCGGTCTCCCTGGCACCGGAGTCGGCGGAGTTGGGACTGGAGTTGGGACTGGAGTCACCGGAGTGGGCTGCTTCCCTGGCAACGGAGTCGGCGGAGGTTTCCACTGATTACGACGTCCGTCGAGAGCAACTACATCTGCATGCATGCATGATAATGAACCATCCATCATTACCACTCACATGAATAACCTAGAAGATGCATCCATGATGCTGCGAGTTTAGTAGATGAATTACCTCCGGCCGCCGCCGAGCATGACAAGGAGCAGCATATGAGAGCAAGGATCGCAACTCCGTGTAGCAAGGAAGAAGGAGAACTCGCCATGATCCTCCCCCCTTCCTGTCACAGGCTGACAGCTTCTGATTATTTTCTCTCAGTGCATGCACTCTTTTATAGGGATCACAGCGGTACTAGCTAGTAGCTACTACGCTACTACACTGAGAATTGCCAGGCTACATATTTGTCTTGGAGGCTAGTGCAGACGCGCTCTGATGGAATGGTCATGGTCCGCCCTCCTGTCAACAGGGGCACCTTGGGAAATTCAGCTTGAGAAAAAAACGAATTAGTGGCAAGCTCGATTGGAAAAATCTTCCTCTTTCGTCTTGTATAGACCAATGGAGTCAATACTATACAGCTTGTCGGCACCACATTAAAGCAGCACAGAAACAAATTTTCTAGCTTGTCGGCACCACGGTGAAGCACCACAAAAAACAAAAAAAAATTGGATTTTCTAGCTTAGAAGAGATGTTTTTTTTCCGAGAAAAAGAAAGAAATATTGTTTTCGTCTTATATTCTCATTGTTCCTCTCCATTCAAGCCTCTCCCTATCTAGCTAGCAGCCGCTCTTTGCGGGTGGAACCACCAAGGTAGGCGGGGTGGAGGGTAAGAGGTTGAGACACATGAGGGACAAGACCGGTTTGCTCGTATCGTCTACCTTTTGCCACCCACATCCTTCTTTTAAAACCACGGCAAATAATTTGAACGAAACTACGACAAGTAATTTGAACTAAAACCACGACGAGTAATTTGAAACGGAGGAAGTATAAGAAAACTGGACCAACGATTCCCTCGCCAAACGCACCCCTCCCCTCCCCCATCCTCCCCGTAATGAGGATCAAAGCTGGCACGACAGTGTCTTACTGCGGAGCAGCGAGGCCAAGAACCTACTTCTGGTGTTTTCACTTGCAGTGTGGGCGGGCCTTTTGCTCTCTCCGTGCATGGATCTGGCAAGTGAGAAGGCTCCATCTACTGGACATGTTCTTGGTAGCATTGGTTTCGAAAAAAAAGTATACATGGTCATGTGATGAAAAGCTTGATCAAGCCTTCGACTAGGCCAGGCATGCCCTTATCGAAGGAGTTTGCTCGAAGCTTCCGCTTCGGCTATGACAAACACAAGTCAGCTCTAGGCCTCTTTTATTAGTAGATAATTTCCGGTGACATGCAACGGGGCATAAATATTCATGTAGATTAGCCTGTGATTTATTTGCCCGTATTAATTCAGTTATGTAAAGAAGATTTAAAATAGTTTGGTAAATACTTATACATTTAAAACATAATTTTATTTGGTACATAAATAGAAGGTGGGCCAGTTGAGGCGGTTTACAGGGAAACCCGTGGGAAAAGACAGAGATAGAAGGGGAAAAAATAAATAGAGATAGATGCGGGGGGGGGGGAAGGGGCCGACAAAACCCAGACATACTTTTTAAGTAAGAGACAATATTTTCTTTCAGTGAGCTCATTATATTTGACATTATTTTCTTTCAGTGAGCTCATTATATTCTTCTGCGTATCAGTCAGTGAACGAGGACGGGCGTTATCCTCCTGAGGTTGTTCCATGGATTGTGTTGCCTCAAGTACATGATCATGCATTTTTTTAACGGTTCCTCCCGCAAAAAAAGGAGTACCAATAATCTAACCCTTGATTTGAGGGAAAATATAGACTTTCGCCTTTTGTATAATTTCCATTTGTTTGTAATATGCCTAAAGTAGTTTCCTCTAAGATCTATGATGTTTTCATCTCTAAATGTCACTGTAGGACAGCTAGTATTCTTTGTCATGCGCCCAACATCAGTTACATTAGCGACGTAATTGTTGACGTATAAATGTATTGTTTAGTCTTTTCCATCAGATCAATCTTTTGGTTGCATTAGTTAGAGCATGCATTTCTACATGCTATCATATCCAAAAGGTCTTGAATTCAAGACCCAACTGACGTAGTTAAATCACAGCCCACTTTTAGTTCAAGTTTAGTCCTTAAGGAGCAACACGTGAGAGTGAATGTTGATGTATAAATATATAGCACCACCAACCGAAGATAATAGCGTCGCCAACCGGCACACACTACTAGGAAAAACCTTATACACAAAATCTTAGTAGCAGCAAGGTTTAAAAACAAACGATACTGCTAATTAGCAGTAGCGGGCTCCAGAAAACCGCGCTACTAATAGCCCAGTAGCAGTAGCGCTCTACGTGAAATGAGCGTTACTACTACAATTGCCATGGTGTTGCCCTCAGGCTAGATATAGTAGTAGCGCCCTTCTCCTGGACGCGCTACTGCTAAAGTACTTAGTAGCAGCGTTTTTCTTTAAAACTCGCTGCTGCTAAGTATCATCCCCTCTTGCAACTAATTAAGTTTAGTCCCATACTGCTAAACGAACAAGGTGTTTACCACCTTAAATATGTTACTTCTCAAACTATCTCGAGCACTTGGTCTTCATTAAACTGTATGTGTAGAGTTTGTGGCTGCAATATGAATCTTCACCTGTGCCTATACAGGTACGGTGAGGATTCATGTTGACCATTTAGATTCTACACAAAAAGATCAATGATGACCAATGTATATTTTTGATGTTTTTAGATGCTTAGCCTTAGCAGTAGCGTTTTTTCAGGACAAAGCGCTACTGATATTGGGCTTAGCAGTAGCGCGCTCCCTGTACCCACGCTACTGCTACAACAAAACAAAACACGTGGCCCGGCCCCCCGCCCGACGCCGACAGCTGCAGTTAGGGTTTCTCCTCCGCCACCGCGCGCCACCACCACCACTGCCGAAGCTAATGCTCCTCCCCCCTCTCGCGGCCCCTCTGCTAGCTACTCCTCCACCCTCTCGTCGCCCACTTTGTCGCTGCCCACGAGCTCTGGCCAGGCGCCTTTGGCAGACTGCCCTTGATCCCCTCGCCGGCCGTTGTCGTTGCCCCCTCTCATAGGATAGTCACCGACCTTCCCCTCGTCAGCACCCCCGACCGAGGTCACCATGCCATCCCCCCTCCTCGTCAGCACCCCCCGAGGGTTGCCCTACGTAGACGCAGCGAGGGCTTATGAATTTCATATGGATAACTAGATGCTTTTGTTTTTCTGTAATAAGTTATTTTTTTGCAAAGTGTAGGTGCCAATTTAGTTGAAATGCTTTGGTAGGTGGTACAAGTATTTAGTTTGCAAGTGCTAAGTTAATCCCAATTAAATTTGCCACTTGTTTTTTAATCAGTTATCTTAGGCAATAGGGGCCAAATTAGATAAAATGTGTCTTGGTAGGTGGTACCTTGATTTGGTAGATAACTTATTACAGATCTTGGGATTATACCTTTGGTAGGGGCCAAATAGTTTTTTTGGCGATAGGTGCCCCTGAAATTGCTTCTTGCGGAAGAATCTCTTTATCTAGAGATATTCTAGAAGGTGTTAGTAAGCTAATTGAGAACTTGTTGTCTGTGAGTCTTGTTGGCTGATTTGGCATTGGCCTGCTAGCTGTTGGTTCTATTATAGAAGGTGTTAGTAAGTTAATTGAGAGCTTGTTGTTTACTTTTTGGGATCGGGTTCCACTATGAAAATATAACTGAAGAAGAACCAAAAATATAACATGCTACTGTTTTTCTTTCCTGTGAAGTGGATCGTTAATCCTTTGCTCATATTGCTTTAGGAAAATGGCGCCACAACCACCACCACCACCATGTCGACTGTGCAAGTCAAGGTGCGCCAACAGCCTTGCAACTGGCAAGCTGTTCGGCATCTACTTCCAGCCGAGTTTCCGTCATGCGGCGGTAAGAAATTAGATGAAATGTAACAACTATTTTATTTTTAGTGTTGGCATTACTGCATTGTCATTTTTCTTTTTTTTACACAGATCGCCTCATGCAATGTGAGGTCGAAATTCAACAAGCTGACAGGAGACACGGTGACATTTGAGGCTCCTGGGGGGCCATACACCTTGGAGGTCGAGAAAGGACGCAATATGCCGCAGATTGGAGGAGATGGATGGGCCAGTTTCCTCGCCCGCATGCATCTTACTAGTGGTGAGTTGATCAGCTTCTTCTTCAGAGCAGAAAGACCCAAGATGGCTATCATTTATCTCAACCTTGTGGAAGATGATGAATATGACGAAGATAATGAAGATGACAAAGATAATGAAGATGATGAAGATAATGAGGAGCCACTTGATGAATATGATGAGAACCCACTTCATGAAGCCATCGTAGCTCAAAGAATGAGGCTGAGCAAGGAGGAGGTGTGCAACCTATGAGACATGATTCCGCCACGTGATGACTTTGTCAGGGTGCCATTCGTGACCCGCCTGACAAGTACCATGGTCGATCGACATGAAATGGTATGTTATGCTGACTGTAGCAAAATGCCTGATATATATATATATATATATATATATATATATGCTTTATTGTTATACTTACAAATGCAAATTATCCGATGATATGCCACTAGTAGAAAACCGGGCAATAGCACCGGTTCGTAAGGCCCTTTAGTGCCGGTTTAGGAACCGGCACTATTATTTCGGCACTAAAGCCCCCCCCTTTAGTACCGGTTCAACACGAACCGGTGCTAAAGGGGTACCACGTGGTACGAGCCAGCTCCGGGGGCCGGGAGCCCTTTAGTACCGGTTGGTAAAACCAACCGGTACTAAATGGTTGTGGGTTTTTGTTTTATTTTGTATTTTTCAATTAAATTTGTGTTATCAATTTAATTTAGGATTGTTTTACGTTATAATGAGTTGTAGTCGTCATCATCATCATCATCATCGCATATTAATAAATAAATAAACTCTAGCTAGCTAAAAATCACCGTGGTCGTCTAATTACCACTATTTAATCATCATAGTCATTACCGCTAGCTATGTAATTCATCATCAATGTTGGCTAGCTTAAAGAGGAAACATTCACTTTGTAACAGAAACAAAGAGATATCATCAAGTTCAACATAATCATCACCAACATCGAAGTTCAGGACACGGATCCATGAGACAAGTACTAATTAAGAGCATGAAGAGTAGCTACTGATCCTGCTGCTCCCTCTCAGGTAGAATAGCATAGAACATGTATAGCT